TGTCATCCTGGGGGTCTTTTTTTTGTCCAAATTCTTGAATTTGTTTTTCTCATGCGAAGCCATGAAAAAACACAATTCACTATTCTAACACTTCCGACCCAGCCCCTCCACCTCCGACGTCTGGGTTGAAATGTCTACTCGGTCCTAACCGAACTTAAGGGAGTGGCCGTAGGTCCCCTGAGTATCCGTAGATTATTCGGCTGGTCCACTGGTTTAATCCTACTTCCTGCTAACGTTGTGTTTGGTTTGATCCAGAAAGCAGAAGTGATGTTCATCCATTCACGGTCGACTAAAGATGTAGACACGACTGGAAGTCTGCGCTAAGGAATTTAGAATGTACCAAAAAAAAAAAAAAAAAATTAATATCTGCAGAAAGCCGGACTACCAACTATTCAATGATTAAATTGTTAATGTCTATTATATAGCAGAAAAGAATAGTATAGAAAAGGGTTACACAAAAGAAAAATAATTGACGTAAAAATGCATACACTGGATTCTAGACAGAGAGAGAGAGAGAGAGAGAGAGAGTGTGTATTATGATTAACTTGTTGTTAAATCGTCTCAGAACGATATACGACACTTGCGATGGGGAGGATAAGATTTCTGTGTGCGGCTTAAAGTTTATAGTAGCGTTCCTCCTTAGCAGTAGTAACAGTAGTAGTAATATCCGTGGTAGCAGAAGCAGCGGTACTTATGTCAACAGCACGTGTTAGCGGACGCTTCATTCCAATCTCTGACGTCACGTTCTCTCCTTCTTGAGTCTCCAACTTGACTCTCCACTGTCTCTAGCCCAACTCTTAGCCGGGCTAATTCTCTTCCGTCTCTCACTTCCGTCTGCCTCTTCCATCTGCGTCTTCCGTCTCTCTCTTCCGTCTCAATGCTTACCCGTCTGTGTTTTTCAGCATAACTATGCGTTTATATAGATAAACCTGGCTGATTACAACTCACCCTTAGCCCTACTACTTCGCACGCGATTATCACGGGGTTCTGGCTGCTTCAACCAAAAACATGTGAATTCCAAAGTTCCTTCTAGCTTACTCAGCTCTATTTCAATTTTTAATCGATGAAAATTATTTTAACCATTTCCAGTGTCTACTGATGACCTATATTCAATGGGTACAACTTCTGCCCTAGATCAAATCAGTAAACAAAATGCTCTGATTTAATTTCACTATTCAAATCTATTCCAATTTCACTAAAAAAAATATACGTGTGTATGTGTGTGTTTCCCAAACTCTCTCTGTTATACTATTTTATTTTTAATCTAGAATTTTGACTGTGTTAAAATTTAACTTTAAATCTCAAACTGATGTTAAAAATTGTCACAAAACATTGTTAATTTAAGATAAGATTTGTCTCTAATGTGTATTTAGATACATTTATTTTAAACTTTTCTATTTGAATTGTTCATCTACGTTGCATATGATCCATTATTGTACATAATTAGGTTACAATAAAATTTGCATTTTATTTAAATACTACCTTATGAAAAATTGAGAGGTAGTAGAGGTGGGGGATCATATTGTAGATTAGGGAGTGGTCAAGACCCTTGCACAAGTCATGACAAACCTGAATAATTTAGATGTTTGAAAGCAGCTGTGCCCCAAGAACAGAAAAAGGGGATAGAAAAAGAATTTTGAAAACATTGTTGCTTTTTATATTCATGTCTTCTGACTGTATGTGTAAGGGAGGTAATCCCACTTTCATAACATTTATCAATGTTCATGCGTATTTTATTTTTATTGTTTTAGTTTCTACAATTGCCATATTTATATTTATTATTTACTTTTTTAATATTTTTATTGTTTATTTAAAGGACCAGCTGAAGAAATTAAAAATTTTTACATTCAAATTGTAATCACGCACACACAATGCAAAACTTTATTCGGAAAGTAAAAAGTGAAAGTATTTCACCTAACATTGTTTGTTACAAATTATTGCTTGTAAAAGCTCACTGAAACAGCTCTTGATACTGAAGCTGAAATTTAAGTAAGTGATTGTTTTTTTAAAATCAATAATATGCCTATAACATTCTTCATTTGTTTCTTGTATTTTGTAGGGGCAATTTTACTTAGCCACATTTATTTTAAGATTTCAAACTTATTCAGAGGCAAATATTCTGTTTACCGCATAACAAATAACACTCACGATTTCATTAGTTCCAACAAATTCATTACTGGTTATTGATTATTATTAATTGTCAATATGAAAAAGAATGCTTTTTGTATGTGTATTATTCACGTATTTTCTGATACATGTGGCCTGCCTTTTGCTTATGTTAGGGTGGGGCCAGGTGTATGACAATTTTTGAGGTTAAATAAAATGAATTTTTCAAATCACTGAGTCTTGTTTGTTTTTGCAATTTTGTGGCAGAGAAAGATATATCTGACCATCACTCTGATCAGAAATTTTGGTAGGCATTCTGAAGGAGTATGAAGAACAATCTTTAGATCTTCAAATACAGCTTGGGTAGAGGAAGGTCCCTTTCCATGTCTCACCAGATAGGTGCATTTTTGTCTATATCTCTGAGATGAGGTATTATGATTGCTTACATTATTTGGATTGTTATCTTCATGTTCATTGCCATATTCACAATGTTTTGGGCCTCAAAGACAAATGGCCCAGTGGATAAAGGCGTTAGATCCAGTGACTAGACCCAAATTATTGTCAGTTCAATACCTAGCTACAGCAGTGGTGAACCAAAATTGGAGAGTTGAGTTAAAAAGAAATAACTGAGACATCTGGAAGTTACCTGAAGAAGGCTGGAGTATACAATGACCGAAATGTTGTGAATATGGCAATGAAGATGAGGATAACAGTCCAAATAATGTAAATAATGTAAGGTGCATTTTTGCTTTTATTTTATTTTATGTAATTACTTATGATAATATTGACCTGAACAAATATTCACTAGAGACATTAATCCACTATATTTTCAAAAGAAAATGAATATTTTAAGTGATAAGAAAGTCAAAGAGGATATTAGGCTTGTAGTTTACATGAAATGTTATGCAGAATATGCTAAATATATAGGATTTATTTTCCATTCTTTTTTTTTTAATTTCAGGCATAGTGTCTATATAACATTCAACCAAACTATCAAAGATGAACATGCAACAACTCTTTGACATTGTTTCTAATTCAATTGAGAAATTATGTGCAGTGCAAACATATTCAAGTTATGAATCACAACAAAACTTAAAGTCACTTAATGACATAGTGGGAAAAGAAGATACTAGAAAAGAGGTTAGTCAACATTTATGCAGGTTGCAGTTTCCAGGTGAGTTAACACAACTTATTTTGTGTCTAATTTTATATTAAATATTCATTTTTTTGTAAATATTTGACAAAGGCTATCTTTTGGACTTTACCAAAATATTATACTGAGTTACAGTTAATAAATCGTTATGCTTCTTTAATATTTTTGTAATAAAAGAGTGAAAGAACAAAAAAAAAAAAATATAGACATACAATCATCTCTTATTAGTTTAATTCATAAAAAGTATTCATGTTTAAGACAAATTGGTATTTTTCCTGCCTCTGAGAAGAGCTTCAAGATTCTGTTTTAATAATCGAGTTATAAAAATTTTATTTTTGCTATTTTAAAAATGATAGCACTTTATAAATATTTAATTGTCTTAGTTGTTTTTGTAATACATGTTCTTTTGAGAGAATTTTATTTTTATGAAGGCCAAACAGTGTAAAAAATTGTTATAATTGTATATGTTTTTTGGGTCAGTGGTTAAAACCTGCCAAAATTTGTGAAGTATCCATTTCCAGTTAAAGGAAAATTATTTTTTATATATATTGACCAATGAAATACATGACCTCAAGCCCTTGTAACAAGATGGGTGAGGTGGGGGGACACTTGTGAGCCTAATTTTCTGAATAAATAAGATCTCATGTCAGTGGGCGAGGCGAAGACTTTTCGATAGTAAGGGAACAAGGCAAATCAACATCCAGGAGCCGAAGGATTTTGACATCATGAAGGCCCCAGTTACCAGCCATCTGCAGAGAGACTAAAGAATTTTGAAGTGAAAATTCTCCTGTGGTTGGACAATGAAGAATGGAAAAGAATTCTAAGAATTTTCCCAAGCATGAATTGTGAATTTAAAAGGGAGTCTTCTAACATTACTATATGTCCCACTGATGCTTCTGGGGTAAGTAAAAATAGGTCTTTTTGTTTTTTCTCAAAGGTGATTGTGTCATTGTTTTTTACTGCCTATTGTTTTCTCGTTTTGTCATTTTCAAAATCTTTGTCTTTTCCGAAACTGTAATCTTTTCCAGTTTTTGATGATAATCATTTTATCTAAAATTGTTATCCTGCCTTGGTAGGTGTACAAAATAAAATTTTGGGGCAAAATTTGTATTTGTACATTTTTTGTAATTGTGTAATAAATGTGTTTTCCTTTTAAAATTTTACACAGTGCTTGAATGTTATTTGTAATTTTGTGTCTATTATGACTTGTAGTTCCTAATAATTAAAGTTTTTGAGTTTGACAGAGGAACTTAAATTTTGGTATGGAATAAAGGTTTTATATAGTGGCATAAATTAACCAAGAGAAGAATGAAAAATAGTTGATGAATTGATTCTACAATCTGAAACATTCAACATATGGAGCTTCACATAAAACCATAAACTACTCAGCTCACCCTTTTACATTGCTTTAATAAGAATTGAAATAAAAACTTAAAAAAAACTGTGTTAAATGATAAAGACAAAAGCACTATCATCTTTGTTCAATTATTTTGTTTTTAACTTCAAATAAAACTAATATAATGACATAGTAAAGGACAAATAAAGTTATAACTGACAACCTTATTTAAAAGAAATACTTACAAATCCTGGAATTTTCATTATGTTTGTATATTCGTATAAAATCTTTTATTAATAGAAATAAAATATTCATAATATAAATTTTTAAATTTCAGAATTAGCAATGAGAATCTTGAATAGTTTGGAATGTAAAAATGGAGAATATGCAAACATTGACATCTGGATGCCTGTTTCAACCACAGTGTCTATAATACTTAATACTACGGATTCAGATGCTGCAATCTCTTTTGTAAGTAAATCTACTTGTAATTAAAAAAAATGAATTATCAGTAATGTTTGCTTTAATTATTAACAAATTTTTTTTCTAAATTTTAAGATCCCAATATACAAAATGAATTTGAAAATATATGAAAAAAATAAAAATTTGAAAAATATAGTGTTTAATCACCAAATTTCTTAACTCCTATTGCAACCAAAGAGATTTAGTTTATGCAGAAAATAACATCAAAGAAATGGAGAGTGGTATAGTAGCAATCTACTCATTTGGACAGCAATTACGTCAAATAGAAAACTTGTTATGTATATTGGATTCAAATACAGCCTCAACCTAGACTGAGATTACATTTTGTCCCTAATTTCCAGAAATTGCTGCATCACTATGTAGTCTTTAATGTGAATGGAAGTTAAAAGATTTGTTTAATAAATCCATCTTACAATTTCATGACTAGTTAGTTATTATTACAGTACAGTTAATTACAAAGTATTTTTTTGATTTGTTCTATGAGTCGTCAATATATTTTTTTAATGATCTCTCTGCTTTTATACATGAATAATTTTATTTTTATACATTTAACATCTTTATTATGGTTTTTTCTCAAAATCTTTTGAAAAGGCAAGAAAAAGAGACCTGATGTATAGGAATAAAACCTTTTTAGAAAATTCAGATTGTCTACATGAATAAATAGACAATGTAAATGAATCTAAAAATTTCCAAAGAAAAGTTCTTTTTATTTTATGATTTACTTGAGAGCCATTTAAAAAAAAAGAATTTATTTTGGAGCAGTTTGTATATAGATTAACAATGCATATTATTTTACATAATGAATATTTGAAGACTATTTCATTTTCAAGAAAATATCATTCTTAATACATCAAAGACTTTAATATAGAAGACACTTTTAATATTTTGCAGAATTATATGGAAAATGGTGTAGTTGAATTTATGAAAAAAAACTGCTGTTGGGACCATTACTTGTCTGTAAATAATGAGGTAAATATTTTTTATGGGTTCATTTATCCAAACAAGTCCTGAATATTTTAAAATTTCTTGTTCATTTCTGTTGGGGAAATTACTTTAAGAAAATTAGTATTGAATGCTAGATGTCCTAGTGACTGGACATGTTTTATTTCATGGCTTCCAGAAAGTGATTTGATATTTTTAAAAGAAGGAAAGTCATTATTTTTTTTAATTATTCTTTTATTTTTATATTTTTCTTCATTATATTGTTATAAAATAAAATAAGACATATCTCGGCTGATTTACAGGCAAATACTCAAGAGTGAGAGCCAGATGTGAACGGGACAAAACCCTGTCACAAAATGACCATTATCTTCATTTACAAATATTCCCAACACACGTGTTTCGGTCGAAAAATAAAATAATAATTAAAGTGTTCTATTTTTTGTCCAATAAAAATGCTTCCCTCCTAATTATACTCACTTCATTTTTGAGCCTGTTAAGCCATAAAAAAACGCTATAAAAGGGGTCACACGGAAGTTCAACAGGCAGTCACAGGTGGCCAGGGAACAGACCATCACGGTTAGGCCGAGTGGTCAGCAGCTGTCAGTACCAGAGCATCAACCACCGTCAACATGTGTGAACTACTATGAGAAATCAACCTAGATCCGAAGCCGGCCTATGAACTGTCCCAAGGTAGCTGTCCCAAAACCACACGTTCCTATTGAAATAAATCACGTAAATCTACTTCTGCTGTTGTCGTATTTCTTTCTTGCAACCATACGCTTGTCTATAACATATTATTATGCATTTATTATTTTTATTTATTAAAATACATATTTGTTTATTTTTTTAAAGAAAAGTTGAGATATGTATGATTGTTTTTTATTTTAAAGTAAGTGTTATTTAGAAAGTTTACGAAATATTATGAATATCTAATATATTGATAGGAATTCTATGGGAGAAAGGTATATTTTTTATTGCATTGCCCCCCCCCCCCCACCATCAAGGGCATCATTATATCCATGATATAATAATACCTTAATGGAACAGAATAGCCAAAAGAAAAGGAATGACAAACATGAACTGTTCTCAAAGAGAATTTTATACTGCTAAGTCATACACAAAATTACATAGAAATATTTACACACATTCAACACAGAAACTATAACAGGTATACAACAAGAAGCACTTTGAAAAGAGATAAAGGTTCATACTTGGTATAATTCCCAAGCTTAATTCGATCAACCGAGGGATTCTGGTGAAGAATGGTGAAGTTCAGCTGTTCATTTAAATATTTCAAAGTTATTTTGACATGCTTTTGATATGGTGATCTTCCTAAGTTGAAAGGTTATGGTATTTCTGGACTAATTTTTGAAATGATTCAATCTTTCTTAAGAAATTTTAAAATGAAAGCTGTCTTGAATGTCCTCTCTTCTAGATCTTTTTGCATTAATGCAGGTGTCCGCCATTGCACTATGCTTGGGCCTACATTGTTCCTAATTTACATCAATGTCCTTCCTGATGGCATCAGTTCTAAACTTGCTATGAAACAATCATTTACTCCTGTCTTAATATTAAGTTGAATTGGTCCGATAAAGTCAAATTGGCAGTTGACCTCAAGAATAGCCTATAAAACTATCTTGAACTAGGGTAAGGATTAACGCTGCTAAAACAAAACTGATCTCTTTTAATTGTCAGAGAGAATTCTTTTTTCCTTCCTAACCTCCAGGAGAATGAGAAATAAAATAATTGGAATGAAATATTGCTAGGAGTTGAATTCAGAATTAACCAAAAATGATTAATTCAATACTACAAGCAAAAAAAGGCATCCTTTAAGGAATTCTGACATGTTAGTGAACAGCTCTGTACTAAGACAGATTTTTTATAGGTTTAGGCTGAAATTTGGAAAAGCCAACTTTTAGAGAAAACATAAACCCTTTGAATAAAGACAAGCTTCCCAAGCATTCCAAACTTGCTTAAAATGGATTGAGGAAAAAAGTGAAAAGTTATTGAAGTTCAGTTAAATCACATGCAATTGATGTTTGGTATAGCCTCCAGCATATCAATGCTAAACAACACTCTCCAGTATACGTGAAACACCAAATTTGCAAAAAGCAGCATTTGAACTGCAAATAGCATTTTTCCATAATTTCCTTACTCCATGGTCGCTATAGAGAATTTTCATATTCTGCACCAAGCATTTGACATTCTTGCAACAAGAAGCTAAAAAGAAGTCAGTGCAAACATCTTCAAGTTACCATAGCACAACATATTCCCAAGCCCTTGATTGAGCAGCAGTGATCTCAGTAGGGAACCAGTTCATGAAATTCTTATAAACTAAAGAACCTAACATCTCATAGCAGTGGAACTTGTCAGCCATCTTCTGCTACTTCCACACTGGCCATCATCTATTAGCTGCTAATTTTATGGAAAATCATTTTCTTTTATCCACTAGCTGTTATTTTTCTTTCCTTCCTTGCCTTTTGTTTGAGGTAGTATGGAGCCTCAGCATCTTGATAATGGACATTTTCTCAACTTACATGTGCTATTCATTTTAGTTGTTGCTGCTGTTGAAAGTCCTCAATTGATGTGGTTTCTGTATTTCCAGCCTATAAGATTCAAAGAAGAATGATTCTTGCTGAGACCTACATGCTTCACTTGACCAAAGCCATTTTTAAACATTGATCTGAGAAAGCAGTTGTATACAACTGACAGTTTAGATATTTCAGAGTTCAATTTGTTGCCATGTGAAAGTCTGAATCTAATGAGACATTAAGAACATGACAAGTATTCAGGTTAATATTTTGGCTTTGTAGCAGCTTGCAGTTGGGTGAAACTAGTAAAGCCTATTCTGTTTCCAATTTTCTTATCTCCTAAACTAAATTTCTTGTACCAATGTATTTGAAAGATTTAGTATTTACTGAATTTTTACTGTTGAGTGTATATATATATATATATATATATATATATATATATATATATATATATATATATATATATATGTACACATACATATACATGTATACATACATACACATGTATATATATATATACACACACAATCTGACAAGAGTCTGGCTATGTGAGTCCTATAATGAATCTGCTTAGTACCACCTCCTCTTTCCCTATCTCTCTGTAACTTGGCTGTCTTTCACTAATGATTGGTTGGATGTTATATAATTTGTAGTTTTGAAATTTGTTCCATAACTGCTGCCATTTTTCTTTTATGGTTCTGTTTATGGTGGTTTGGAACTCAGTATGTGGATCTTTTACAATTGAGACGGTCATGTTCAGTGATTACTTTGCCCTTTTGTCAGCTTTTCCATTTCCTTGTATACAAATATGGCTTGCTATCCAGCATAAGACTGTTACATCATCTTTATTCCTATAAATGGTGTCAATCCTATTTCAAAATTTATTTATGAAGGGGGTTCTCCATGTTTTTATTATTCAGTGATGTGAGTAAAGATTGTGAATCTCAGAAGATGATGAATCTATCTGACTCATTTCATTAACCAGGGTGGGTGTTTCATGGTGTTTTTTTTTTTTTTTTTTTTGAGGTGGTGGTTTTATGAATTAATGTTGGATTCATTTGAGTTTTGCTGATGAGATTTTCCATGTAAAGGCCAAAAGGTTTTTCTTATTTTGCATATACGACTTATTAAGTTTATGGGTCAGAAGTTTTGGGGGTCTCATTTGTTTTTATATGGTTTTGGTATAGGGATCACAGTAGCTTGTTTCCAGCTAGTTGGGTGTTTGTCCCTAAAACATACCTTGTTAAAGATATTTAACAGATATTTTAAGGATTTTAGGGGGATTTTTTTTTAAAGAAATTCATAATTTCATGTGGGTAAGTAGCTGTAATATGTGATTTGTTTCTGAAAACTAAGTTTATTTAGGGTAAAAGTTTGGTTGAAATCTTCTTTGTTGTTTGAGTTAAAGTTTAGCTTATTTTTTCTGCATCTTTGGAAATGCTGTTTGTAGTTTTCTCAGGAGGATTTTTGTTTAGATCTTTCTGCAAGTAGATTTACTATATCCTTTTTCCTTGTTATTTTGAGAAAGGTGATTTAGAAAAGATGATGGATTTTTGCCAGCAATTTTCCTAATCATATTCCAGACATTTTTTTTGATTTGGTATGAGAGTTTATTTTATTTATGTTATCTCTTCATGATTTTCTTTTAGCGTCTTTGATGGTTCTGTATGCTTTTGCTTTACTTAGTTGGAATAGATTTAAATTATGGGCTGTAGGTTGGGTATTAAATTTTTGTAGTGCTGCTCTATGTAATCTTATTGCCTTTCTGCAATCTTTGTCAAACCATGCTCTTTGGTGTTTATTTGATTTAGTACTTTTTGGTATACGTTTTCTTGCAATTGCTATTAATGTTTCAATAGATTTTTGTTGTTGTTTTATTTGCCTGTTAGTTTTTGACAGCATTGGTTTTTATATTCCTCCCAGTCTGCTTTGTTTAGTTTCAATAAAAAGATATTATTTTTAATCAGTTCTGAACTCTTCAGTATAATTGGGTAATGATCACTGTCACATGAATTGTCATGTACTTGTCAACTATAATTTGTAATAAAATGGAGGGGTGAAAAAGTGATAGGTCAGTACCAGAGTATGTATTTGATGCAGGGTGTAGATATGTATGCAGTAACCGAGTATGTATAAGATACAGGGTGTAGATATGTATGCAGCAACCGAGTATATATCTGATGCAGGGTGTAGATATGTATGCAGTAACCGAGTATGTATCTGATGCAGGATGTATATATGTATGCAGTAACCGAGTATGTATCTGGTGCAGGGTGTAGATATCTATGCAGTAACCGAATATGTATCTGATGCAGAGTGTAGATATGTATGCAGTAACCGTGTATGTATCTGATGCAGGGTATAGATATGTATGCAGTAACTGAGGATGTATCTGATGCAGGGTGTAGATATGTATGCAGTAACCGAGTATGTATCTGATGCAGGGTGTAGATATGTATGCAGTAACCAAGTATGTATCTGATGCAGGGTGTAGATATGTATGCAGTAACCGAATATGTATCTGATGCAGAGTGTAGATATGTATGCAGTAACCGTGTATGTATCTGATGCAGGGTGTAGATATGTATGCAGTAACTGAGGATGTATCTGATGCAGGGTGTAGATATGTATGCAGTAACCGAGTATGTATCTGATGCAGGGTGTAGATATGTATGCAGCAACCGAGTATATATCTGATGCAGGGTGTAGATATGTATGCAGTAACCGAGTATGTATCTGATGCAGGATGTATATATGTATGCAGTAACCGAGTATGTATCTGGTGCAGGGTGTAGATATCTATGCAGTAACCGAATATGTATCTGATGCAGAGTGTAGATATGTATGCAGTAACCGTGTATGTATCTGATGCAGGGTATAGATATGTATGCAGTAACTGAGGATGTATCTGATGCAGGGTGTAGATATGTATGCAGTAACCGAGTATGTATCTGATGCAGGGTGTAGATATGTATGCAACAACCGAGTATATATCTGATGCAGGGTGTAGATATGTATGCAGTAACTGAGTATGTATCTGATGCAGGGTGTAGATATGTACGCAGTAACCGAGTATGTATCTGGTGCAGGGTGTAGATATCTATGCAGTAACCGAATATGTATCTGATGCAGAGTGTAGATATGTATGCAGTAACCGTATATGTATCTGATGCAGGGGTGTAGATATGTATGCAGTAACTGAGGATGTATCTGATGCAGGGGTGTAGATATGTATGCAGTAACCGAGTATGTATCTGATGCAGGGTGTAGATATGTATGCAGCAACCGAGTATATATCTGATGCAGGGTGTAGATATGTATGCAGTAAACCGAGTATGTATCTGATGCAGGATGTATATATGTATGCAGTAAATCGAGTATGTATCTGGTGCAGGGTGTAGATATCTATGCAGTAACCAGAATATGTATCTGATGCAGAGTGTAGATATGTATGCAGTAACCGTGTATGTATCTGATGCAGGGTATAGATATGTATGCAGTAACTGAGGATGTATCTGATGCAGGGTGTAGATATGTATGCAGTAACCGAGTATGTATCTGATGCAGGGTGTAGATATGTATGCAGCAACCGAGTATATATCTGATGCAGGGTGTAGATATGTATGCAGTAACTGAGTATGTATCTGATGCAGGGTGTAGATATGTATGCAGTAACCGAGTATGTATCTGGTGCAGGGTGTAGATATCTATGCAGTAACCGAATATGTATCTGATGCAGAGTGTAGATATGTATGCAGTAACCGTGTATGTATCTGATGCAGGGTGTAGATATGTATGCAGTAACTGAGGATGTATCTGATGCAGGGTGTAGATATGTATGCAGTAACCGAGTATGTATCTGATGCAGGGTGTAGATATGTATGCAGCAACCGAGTATATATCTGATGCAGGGGTGTAGATATGTATGCAGTAACCGAGTATGTATCTGATGCAGGATGTATATATGTATGCAGTAACCGAGTATGTATCTGGTGCAGGTGTAGATATCTATGCAGTAACCGAATATGTATCTGATGCAGAGTGTAGATATGTATGCAGTAACCGTGTATGTATCTGATGCAGGGTATAGATATGTATGCAGTAACTGAGGATGTATCTGATGCAGGGTGTAGATATGTATGCAGTAACCGAGTATGTATCTGATGCAGGGTGTAGATATGTGTGCAGTAACCGAGTATGTATCTGATGCAGGGTGTAGATATGTGTGCAGTAACCGAGTATGTATCTGATGCAGGGTGTAGATATGTGTGCAGTAACCGAGTATGTATCTGATGCAGGGTGTAGATATGTGTGCAGTCACCGAGTATGTATCTGATGCAGGGTGTAGATATGTATGCAGTAACTGAGGATGTATCTGATGCAGGGTGTAGATATGTATGCAGTAACCGAGTATGTATCTGATGCAGGGTGTAGATATGTATGCAGTAACCGAGTATGTATCTGATGCAGGGTGTAGATATGTATTAGACTTACCATTTAATAAACAAAAGTTGTTAATTACATTTTCCCGTTTTTTGCCCACAACTTTAGATCCTGATATAACATTGTGACTGTTAAAGTCTTCTAATAATATGAATCGTTTTGGTAGTTGTTCTATTAGTTTATATAGATCAGTTTCTTTTATGGGGACATGAGGTGGAATGCAAATAGAGCAGATGTTAACGGTTTTATCTCGGTTAGTTTTTATAGCAAATGCTTGTAGATTGGTTTCTAGAAGTATTTTGTTTTAGGGGATGTCAATTAAGATTTAGGATTTATATGTCCCAGATACCCTTTGTTGGGTGTCATGTATGTAGTTATACTGAGCATAGGTTTTAATTTTTATTTTATCATTTGGTTTTAGGAATATTTTTTCAAGACAAATGTCAGCTGAAATTGATTCATTATGAGTAAGAGTAGTTCATTTACGTTTGCTTTTAGGCCTTGACAATTACACTGTAAAATTTTTTGCGTCATGCTTATGTATTGAGGGTGTTATTGTGAATTTTTATTATCTGGCTTATATTTAGTGGTTGAAGTGTCCATAATTTCTATGCTCTCTTGTCTGTTAGAACTTTGTTTCTTGTCATGTTTTGTTCTTCAAACGTTTTTTGTTTCTGCTTGTCTGTTTGGATTTGTTTTGTTTGTTTTTCCATTAGTTTCTTTTGGTGATCTTTGTCTGGATGATGACTGTTCACTTATTTGAGTTGAGATAGAGTTTTGTTCATCAATGTCCATTTCTCTTGTTTCTTCAGTGTTGTACTGGGCTGTGTCATTTCTTTTTATGAACCTTTTATTTCTCTTGTGAATGTTTGGAGGGTTCTATTTTTTCAAAGGAATCTTTTTAATTTGGATTGGGATTTTCAGAGTTATTTTTGGATATTGTATATCCTGATTTTATTTCTATTCGTAGGGTAGGTTCATTGAATATCAAAATGTATGTGTTTGTGTTTATTGATGTTCCATTTCTTTTTATTTGTATTCTTTTGAAATCTGTTATGCCTTGTTTTTTTTAGAGTGTCATTATTTTTAATTTCTTCCAGTGAGCAGAGTGACAGTTCTGAGCATTTTCATACTCCCTTTCTAGGGGTTAAAAAATTGGTTGGGGTAAGCCTTTACTTTCATGTCATTTATTTGATTGATTTTTAGTATGTTTTCCATGTCTTTTTTAGTTTTTACTTGAATTAGAAGTCTGTTATTTTCCTTATTTTTTTTTACCGATTTTGATTCTATCATGTCTGATGTGACACTTTTGTTATTTCCCCTTCTACTGATCCTCTGATTATGAAAATTAGAAATTGTTTTTTTCCTGATATTCAATTGTCACTTTCCATTTGAGAGTTTTCATAAGACTCTCGGATCGTTTATAAGAGTTAGTCATATAATTTTGTTTCCATTATTTCACCTGTCTTGGAATTCCTACTTAAGGGATTCTATCAGGGGGAACTAATCCCATTCGCCTTTATCCACACACAGTATAATCTGGCCAAAAGTGGTCACAAGTGTAAGGATTTGCAGCCATGTTGTAGCCATTCTCTTTCATCCCGACTAACCCATGACACTATGTGACTAGGCAATTGGAATGGATTTCATTCACTTGTCTATCTCAGGTTGGAACCACAGTGGAGTGTTGTGGAAAGTCCTAGCTATTTTATACTAGATCAGGAGTCACTCTGTCACTAGGGTATAATGGGTCACTATCCACAACCACATTGAAAAGGATTTCTAGTTTTTGGGAATTGATTTTCATAAATGTGTATTTTATATAGTGCAATTTTATAGGTACTTTTGTATGGACAGGTAGTTTAGGCACATCATTTTGCGTAAACAGTTTGTGGATTATGATTTTTTGGTAGTTTAAATGTGTTTACTTTTCTTTTTCAATAGATTGTCTGTATGGAAAAACTATATTATTTTTCCTGAAGGCATAATCCCAGGTATAAATGGAGAGGTTTTAAGCTCTATCATATCAGCTAACAGCATGTAGGTGATGTTTCCTCATACAAATAATTAGTTTTTAATCAATTTTGCTTCATATACTACACCTGGTTAAAGTTTAATGTCCAACCGAGGACATAGGTGTCATCATTTTACAGTTGAGATTGTTAGATGGAACTTTAAGCTCTATGCTAACAATGTCTTCTATTGCACTTCTCACTTGTGGAACTCTTTCAGTTTCTTGCTTTCTAGCCAACTTTGATCTTAAAAAATTTAATTATTATCTTCTGCTTTTTAATTCTTGTTCTTTTATTGGTTCTCTCTCCTTAACAGTGTTTTTCTTTTTCTTATATTCTTTCACACTCAGGAACCCTTTGCATCTTAGTGGCTTTATTGCTTTGCTTAAAATGTAAAAAAAAATTTAAAAAAATATATAAAGGTCCTTATGCATGTGACATTATTGTGGTCATATGCATAACTAAGCTATATCTGGTTAAAGAAAACCCCATAGAAATGTGTATATAGATGGGTCACTTAAAAAATAATGCCTGCTATTTTATCATGTTAATACACAATGTGTTAACAAATAATAGTGCCTATGTGAAAAAACAGTTTTCTATAGCTGAAAACTTGTTCTATTATTGCATCCTTGTTTCTATTCTAACTTCCATAGAAATAAAATGGGAGGCATTACTTTTGGAGTATTTCTCATCCATGTGTGTTTGTATATACACACACCTACATATGTATGTATGTGTTTGTTGATCTATCAGTTGTGATCTATATTATTCTTTTTTTTCTTTTTCAGAGAGTCACTGAGATCCTTTTGTATTCTGTAGCCATCATTCAAAACATTTCCCGCTTCTTTTCAGTTAAAAGTAGATGTGGAGATTCAGTTAATGTAAGTAAATTTGTGTCCTATCTTAAATAATATCTTTCTAAAGATAAATATGTATATCAGTGTTGAAATATAAACACAATGTACTGAAGTAATCTTGTATTTTCAAGAGGATAAAAACAACAATAACAACAAAACACACACAAATTAAATAAAGTTAGACTGTTATTAATTAATACTATAATTGCCATCATTAGTAATTAAATCAATTTATTCTCCAACAAAATATTTGGGGTCTTGATTGGAAGAAAAGAATCTTAGAGAACTGTATTGATAAATTGCTTATTTCTAAATATCCTCATAATTAAAACAAATGGTAATTCCAAAGATGCTAATACTGATAAGGAGGATGAATGAAAAATGTTCTAATGACTTTCTTTTGTGTTCGTTTATTTTCTTTGATTGAAGCTGTGCATTGTCATTCTGGACAATGATGTTGTTATTTTTTCTGTTCACCAAAGTGGTGCATTTCTGGTATAATGCACAAATTAACATGCTTGTATTGTGAACAATAAAAAGTTGCAATAATGCTTTCTCTTTAGATCCTGGTCCTTCTTTTTAAACTTTACTGATATAAAGAAATGTCTTCTGGGATAGTGTCAACTATATGATAGAATACTTCTAGTTAAACTGAAGGGGGAAGCCATTTAACATATCCATTGTTTCTCAGAGAAAGAAACTGAATGGTTTTACTGCACACTATACACAGTAAAGTCTCAATGCAAATCACAGGCAATTACTATCATCATGGGAGAAGGAGTAAAGATGGAGAAATAGTTGACAAATTTGAAGTAGGAACCCATAATTAGCACAATGAAAAATGGGTAAAATTTTTCTGACTCTGGGAGAAATAATGTCAAAAAAAAAGAAAAAAAAGAAAAGAAAAAAACATATGGAGATTAAAGAAAGAAAAAAACAAGCAAATTCTAATAGGATGGATACCTGAATGACACAAATTACAAAGAGATGTATACTGATAATCTTAAAAGCAAATACAATGAACTAATTGAGAATAGCAATTCAAAGTGGGATACCTTAAGAGAAGTTTTAGTGACATCAGGAAATGAAATAATCTTAAAGAAAATGATAGATGAAATTCTCAACATGAGGAAAAGGAGACAGTAAAAAATGCCAATATATGGTATATAACAAAGGACATGACAATGAAATTAGAAACAAATACAAGCAATCAAAAGATGAAGGCTCAATAAAAATTAAAGAATTACAAAGAAAATTTAAATATTTGGGAAGTATTTTAACAGTGAACAGAAGATTTGAGACTAAAATGCATATTGGAATAGCAAGAGAGGACTTCCAAAATCTAAGAAGAGTATCAAGAAAAAAAAAGTACTAAACTTATATAATATTACTCCTCTTATATGGCAGTGAATGTTGGACAATATTCTTACAAATGAAGAAGAGACTTGAGACAACAGAAAAGTGGTTCAACAGAAGGATACTGAGAACCCCATGGACTGAATATATGAACAATGAGCAAATTTTAAGGAAAGTGGAAATGAAAAGGATGCTTATTCTTAGGATCAGAAGGAAAATGTTTAAATTTATAGGGCATATAATGAGGAAACAAGGCTTGGAAAATATGTCACTTACAGGACACAGGGTTGTGGAGAGCCATGATCATCCATATGATGAAAGAAGAAGTGATTATTAATTTTCAACTAGTATTCTCTATTCTTATTTTTGTCACATTTAAATGCTCTTAAATGCTTTTTTTGTTGATTTGAAATGGTTATTCTTTGACTGCCAAAACAAGCATGGATTGGAAATAAAGAATAAGCTCCAAGAAAGATTCTCCTTCCTGATCTATACTGCTTAACTAACATTTCCAAAACAATGATCTGAGAGTTGCAATTAAAAGTATTAGAATTAAAATGAAAGAAATATTAGTCAAATAATAATTGATGATTCAACTAAGAAATCTATCAACTATTATATCTAGTATTAGTATCAGTGAACTGTCAGTGTAGTATTGATAGAATAAGTAAGGAATATAGCAGTATGTCTTAACTGATTGATATATACCAGTAAATTCTTCATAACTGAATCAGCAAAATGTGCCGTTACAGAAAACAAGATCCCTAAAAGAAGGGATGAAAGTTCAAATCTGGACAAAATATTTCTTTCTTTCTTATCCTTGCTGTTTATTTAATGATTATAGAGTAACGGAAATAAGATGAAAAAAATAAAAAAATGACTGACAATTGTTCAGCTAAGGAATTTGAAAATGATTACATCTAGTACTACTGGATGTGCATGTAGCATAACCATTACTGGTACAGAAAGGAAAACTAGCATGCAGTGTTCAAATTCTAGTCAAGTTTGTTGCATTCAATTTTATACAAATACTCTTGGAAAAGGTATGAATCAACGTCTTCTTAGCTATGAATTAAAGAACAGGGTAGATTCTAGGATTTATTGGCAACCAGTCCAGGAGAAGAACACCTTTGAATTCAAAACCGATTTGGTATAGAACTACAAACTCCATTCCATAAAAACTTAGTTGCTACAGAAACTACAGCAACAATGCATAACATGGCAAGGCTTTGGTGCTGAATTTTTTTTTAAAATGATGTTCATACAATATAAGGTTCAAGAGCCACTCAAGGCAGGTTACTGAATGAGGTGTGAGATATGAATGTAAAAGGAAGGAATATGAAGTGAAGATTATGAGGATGCTGGGGATGGATAATAATTGACCCTTGTCTTGAAGAGGTTAAGACTAGTTTTCAAGGATTGATCCAAGAGGCAAAGTATCAGTTCTTGGAAAAAATCTGTCTGAGTGGGACTCAATGGTAGCTTCATTATGGAAGCAATTGTTTTAGATATCTCAAAGACCTTGTAAAAATTGAATAATGTCTAAAAGAGACCTTTCTCTCATGAAGGTCATCACTGCTGATCAGAGTCTGATTTTTCTCCTGTCAAAATGAACAGTTGCATTCTCAAGGATGCCCAATGCTGTGAACGGCTATTTGAACTTAAATTTTCTCTTGACTTCAAGTGGAACATATATATGATCCATTGCTAATGATGTAGGAAAAATGGTCAGATCCTTGTATCACTCCAAAAATTACCTAACTCCTGATATGTTTTATCTTTACAAGAGCTGAATAAGATCAAAAATGTTGTATTGCTGCCATACCTGGGTTGGACTATCCATGTCCTCACTTTCAAGCCTTGATAGAGTACAAAATTGGTTCCATGGTCTTGTAGTGAATGACTTATCACTACTCTATTGCTATTTTCATAGCAAATGTTCAGACAAGCTCCATATTTTTTATTCCACCAGTTCAGACCTTTAAAGCTAAGCTCCATCATACTATGTTGACATAGTACTATGAAAGCATAGTAGTAAGAGGAGTGTTATCCGAGTAAGAAAAACTCAACAGAAGCAAGATGAAAGGAATGGTAAAAATGAATAATACTGAAAATGTTTCAGCAAAGAAATGTGCAGGCTATTGCTAACCATTGCTGCTGATTACACAATCACTGCACATTGCACAAATATTCTTTACTGTATTGCATGACTGCCATTATGAAATCTATCAAAATCCTTGTTTTGTTTTTTATTGGATTTAAAGATTACCAGAAGATATAAATAATGAAACAATCTGATAGAACAAATGTGAGACTAAATTCTTGTTGTTTACTCTTTAAGTTACTTTTCAGAATATGATTTATTCCAGTTTTGTATATTTTAAATGCAATATTTCTTTCTGAACAATAAAATATAAATCTATTGTATTTTATATTATTAATCAGCTACTTTTTATTTCATTTCTTTCTTTCGTCAGTGGCTCATTCCTTTGCTATCAGTTACAAAAGGAAATATTCATATTCATTCCGTCATGCTTTTAGCAAATATGGTGGATGCCAACAATAATGCAGTTCTAATAAATGCCCAAGGTAAGTAAGAAGAAAAAAACCCAACTTTTTGATGGTAACAACTAAAATCTTTTAGCACCAAATATCAGGTTCTGTATATGAAGATGAGAAGAAGTGTGGAGTTAGTGAATGAATATTTGTCAATAATTCTTTTTACAACTGTGTTCAAGAATAAGAAGAGTGCAGGTTTGTTAAAGAGACTGGAACAAAGAATGTGATATGTTCAGAATGATACGAGAAAAAGCAAGACAAATGCTGAAGGATGTGTACCTATGTTTTATACATTATGCTAAAACATTTGATAAAGTATGTCACAAAGAACTGTTTGAACTTGGAGGTAACCCTGACATATTTGGGGAGGATATAAGAATAATCTAGAACCTATACTGGCAGGAAACCTGCAGCATACAGATAGAAAATGAATTCAGTTAATATACAAAAATAGAGAGGGGGGTGTAAGACAAAGCAGACTTATTTAACTTATACAGTGAGGTAATTCTGAATGAATTAGAAGTCCTACCAGGATTTATTATTGATGGCCACAGTTGTAACAACATAAGATGTGCAGATCGGACAGTGTTGCTAGAAAAGAAACTAGAAAAACTCCTACAAAAAATAATGAAGGCATTGTTCGTAAAAGGAACAGTTCAACATGCAAATTATAAATTGGTGATTCCAAAATCAAACAAGTGCAACAATTTAAATATCTGGAAAGTGTTTTAAGAGAGAATGGAAAGTGCAACACTAAAATCCGAAGACATATTAGTATAAAAAAAAAGCTTTCCAAAAGCTTAGCAAAGTATTAAGGAATAGGAAAATCATTATAAACAAAGAGTACTGGACTGTTACATAATAGTCTGCCTATATAGCAGTGGATGCTGGACAATTTCCTCACAGATGAAGAGACTTAGAGCAATAGAAATGTGGTTCTACAGAAGGATGCTGAGAATATCATGGACTGAACATGTGAGCAACAATAAAGGCAAATAATGAGGAAGAAGGCTTGCAAAAATTAATACTCATAGGATATCTGTGAGTATCAAATTTTGAAGGCAAGAGGGACAGAGAAAAATAATGTATAATCTCTCTAGTGAGCTTGAGTAAATGGATGGTGGAAGAAGCTTTAGGAAAGATAATAAAAAGAGGAAATTTATTAAGATCTACAAAGGACAGGAAATTGTGGAGAGCCATGATCATCTAATCCCTGAAGTGAAATGTCACATAGAAGAAGAATTATTTATAGCATGATGATTGTCTAGCAAACAATTGGTTTCAACTGCCTACAATAAAACATGATATGAACCTTCTTGAATATTGGATTTGGAAATAAAAAGTGGCCTCAAAAATCCATGACAGAAGGTTAGATTCATATTTGGAATGCATTTTGCGTAGCCTACAAGACAGAATCATGGATGTAATAAGTTAAATGTCTGAAAAATCTGCTGATGGCAAGGATAATATTTTAATTTTCTTGAATTGTTTAGATTATTAAAAAAGGTTTTGTCTCTGTTGTGTCATCCCAGCTGGAAGTGACAGCAGTCACCCTACGTTTGATAAATGCAGTTGCAATGCGGATCCACCCGCCCACGGGAAAATGTCCAGCCAGCTTTCCACATAACGAAAACACGCTGCGTCGTGTCATGTGTCTGGGAATATCTGGGAGCTCGCTTCCATGTTTCCAGTAAGGCACATTGTGCTCCCCCCAGACCTGCAAGCCGAGCACACGAGCACCATCCTCCAGTCGTTCTGGGTTCTTACATTCGAGCCCAAAGTCAGCAAGATGCTTTCTCACCTGTGCAGCGGGCACTAAGGTTTCGTTGATGTAGATGTCGTCAATGTCAGCTGACGTCGCTTGACGAATTGTCTCATCCTTGGATAGTACAGCATCCACGATGGCTTTCATGATGGCCGGCACCACATTGAGTCCTAATCCCATTCGGGTTAAGCATTATCTCCTCCCATTAAGGATCACCGTCTGAAATGGCCACAGTGAGCGGTGCACGCGTACCTGCAAGTAGGCCTTTCGAAGGTCAATCACAGAGACATTGGATCCCTTCATTCGCCATTCTCTCAATTTTTGTGCACGCACATCAGCATGAGCTGTGTATGTATCTACATGTTCGTTCAGTTCTCTATAATCTAGTACAGGGTGCACCTTTCCCTTGTTCTTTTGTACCACGGCCATCAACGGGATGAGGCCTCTTGGAGGGCCAAGCTCTTCCTCGGGATACGGAGTCAGCCATCCATTGTCTAGCCACACCTGCAATTCACGTTGGTATTCTTCCTTGACGCGTTCGGGCAACGAATATTCTGACGCTCGGTTCTGGAGCTTTTCTGGTGGGTTATTTTCCGACCATTTCCAAAATGCTGTCCATGTCTTCATCCTTTGGTGGAACTCTGCGCTAAAGTCGGGCTCGTTGATCTTCAAAGTAGCACATATGGGCGGATCAGAAAACTTGACTTCGCCCACCTCTGTAATGCGTTCGCCGCCCAGCTCCTTAATAGTGTCCATCCCAAGGAGCAGATCAAAACCTGATAACGCGCTGTCCACGACCAACACACTGACTGTGAGGGGGTCACCGTTGTTGATACTGAGTTTGATGTTTCCGACTCCCCGGCTTCTGAGAGCCTTTCCATCGGCCGTTAGTACGTCTATCTTTTGTCTGCTCCACTGTCGAAAAATCGAACCGTTCGTGAGTGACCGAGGGCAGCCGGAATCTATTAAAGCGGTACGCGTTATTCCATTGATGCGCACCTTAATCACAGGGAGCGCCTCTTTCATGCTCGGTGCGGGGAAGAGACCGGCGCTGAAAGAGTTTTGTCTCAAAATAGAGATCTCTTCTTGTTTGAGTCATAGATTTTATTCTTATTAATGGTTTAGAAAATACTTTTCTCATGTTCATATTCCAAGATGTCACAATCCAGTTCATTAAAAAAAAATACACACTTACCATTTTGCTGAAAACGTTAATCTTAAAGAAATCAATTCAGAAAATGTTAACAACTTTGAAAGCAGATCAAAATCTACTGATTTTCACACACACACACACACACACACACACACACACACACACACACACACACACACACACACACATATATATATATATATATATATAAAAGGTATAATACTTCATACCTTTTTCAGGATGTATCAATGACATTATACACATCAGTAATGCTGCAGTCCCCGATATGGAACATAAAGGATATCATTTGTGGGAATTACTTCTCGCAATAGGAAAGTTAGCCAAAAATGATTCTATCAGGAAAAAGGTAAGTGTACAGAGTATGTTTATGATAAATTTCTCATAATCTATATATTTGTGAATCCTCCATCTTGAAAATGGCTGACAACATCATCAAATTTACCAAGATCCAAAATATTCCAGCAAAATAGAAAGAACACTTCTCTCCCCTTCTCAATTGTCACTATCATGTTAGACTTCCTCAGATGTGCTCCACAGCACCAGGTATGACCTGAAAACACTCCCTTGGAACTGATCAAGCATGACGAATTACCTTTCTAAACAAGAATTTTCCTCTTACTTCTACAGAAAAGAAGGAAGTTTCATCAGATGTGAAGGACGCAAATTTTGTCACTATCTTCAAGAAGGGAGATAGAATCTCCCTCCTGTCCATCACAGGGAAGATCCTCACCAGAATCATTCTCAATCACTTTCCAACCTTGTCAGAGGACATCCTCTCTGAAAGTCAGTGTGGTTTCACAGCCAACAAAGGAAACATTGATATGCTTTTCTCTGTGCAGAGAGTTGCAAAAACTCCTGGCAATTATTTTTGACAATCTTGAAAAAGAGTTTGACAGTGTTCTAAGTCCCGTAATATGACAGATCCTCAGACACTATGGATGCCCTTAGAAATTCATGGTGCTCTACAGGAGGGAATGATGGGTTGTGTCCAACATTAAACTAGCCTTTCAGACCCCTTCATCATCAGAGGTGGCTTGAAGCAATGGTGTGTACTTGCTTCTACCCTCTTCTCCATCTACTTGATGGAAATATTTCAGAAGATTCTAGATGACAACTCTAGAATCAACTATCGATAATGCACCAATAGCAACCTTTTCAATATTGGGCACAGTTTAATTTAGTAGCGAAAAAAAGAGATTGGTTTAGGTACACCATTCTGCACTTAGTGTAAGACTGATCTAATTGCATTTAAAGAGGCATCTGTCATCAGGTTCAGAGTAAATTTCATTGATATACGAGAATTTAGTAAACTCTGCTGATGCCTTTTTAGAATTATGGAAAGCGACAATGAAGAGGAATTGTTCATATGAAAGATTAAGTAATGTGACACAAAATAATATTAAAAAATGTTTAAGACAAAGGTAACAGATTTTGTTGTTCACCAAAGGCATATATGATTTGCATATGTTCAAAAGTAGATGAAGAGAGATAGCTTAGAAGGTCAGTGAATATTTGCAAATGATCAAAATCTTTTCTATACCACATATTTTTCTGTGAACCATATACTCAAAGATGAACTAAATTAAAAATTATTTTTTACTCCTTTTTGACCTTTTTTAATATTAAAAATTTGCAGGTTGGAATTCCAAACAATAATAAAATAAAAAAATGCTGTTGTTGTTGTAGCTGATTACTTTGAAATCGCTGATACATGTTTCTTTCAGTATGAGCTGGTGGGAAAGAAGAAAAAAAACCCTGTATAGCCATGTCTTTTCTTGTGTTTGAATGGCTTGAATACTCTGGAAATCTCTGAGGTTTTATAGTTTTCTCTGATTGGTCAAATATTTCACATAGTAATGTTGATTTCGAATCAATAGATACTTTGACTTCAATGGAGTGTGTTGTATTGTGGTGTATTTTGGGCATCTTTATAAATATTGTTTGTTATTGGGTAAAAAATAAAGTTTGGGTGTATTTTATTATGGTATGGATGTAGGTAATTAATTGTGTTGAAAATAGAATTTATTTCCTATAGGTCTCCAAGCTCTTGTATCTGGTTTTTGAACCAGAGAAGAAAATGGAGTACTTGAAGGATGTAGAATTCCTGTTTGTAACATGTTGAAATTTGTCTTTTGCTACTTAACCTGTATAGGGACACAAACATTAGGAATCCTGTTGTTTTTATGTGATGTTTCCCTAAGTGATGTATTTCATGTGTGTGTATGAAAGGAGTGGTGATAGTAGCAAATTTTTTTAAATGAATTCTTGTATATTACCATCTGTTGGCATTGCAGAGCTAATTCTAGTTGAGAACTAGAGAGAGGTTATACTTTTGCTGCTAGCTTCATGCCTTTGTCAATAAAGGAATGAGTAGCCATTTCTCCAGGCAAATGATAATGTGATAGGAAATCTGCCCACAAGTATAGGGTTTTTTAATTGTGCTTGTGTGATTTAAACCTATATTTAATGCAAGAGACATTTCTCTGTAGGTTATATATATTAAATCCATTAGCCACTTTCAATATATACACGGAAGGCATATGCTTTTTTGCACTAATCTGTGTACATGTGTTGACTAAAACTAAGTATCTGGCATTGCTATTCATGATATAAAATAGCAGTCAATGTTGTTTTTACTTGCTGCCAGATAAACCTGTTGTGTGTGTGAGTTGTGAGAGGTATATGGTTCAATGTACTTCTTTTCATTTTATTCAAACTTGAAATGTTACCAACATGTATGGCCATTTTATCACTCTCCAGTGGAGTTTCATAAACTACAGTTAATTCTGTTTCTTGAGTGAAGGTGACATTTATTGGAAGAAAAATTTTGTTTTTTGTTTGGGAGGTGGGTAGACAATTTTAGCAAATGTTTTTTCTGGCCTGAAAAGTCTGTCTTCTTCTGCTGCTGATGTATTATTAGTAGAAAAAAATTCTTTATTTTTGATCATTATTTCTAACCCAAATGGGTAACATCTCTGAATTATTCCATTGTCTTCATTCAACCTACAGCTGGGCAGTACAAAATGAATGTCCATCTAAGGTCCTCATTTCCAGTTAATGTCCACATTTTTGAGTCTGTAAAGCTATCTTTTCTAATAAGCACTTTCTGACAATTTAAATGTCTTTTCTCAAGGCAAAGTATTCTTTCAGCATTTGAAATAAGAAAGAAAAATTCTTAGTGAAGAAAATCTAGTTAGAACTGTCTTATTTATCATACCCCCACTTTTTTTTTACTTATTGCCCGTTTAAAAATAAGAAAAAAATCCTTTGTTCTTTGTAATTCTGGTTTCTCTTACTATCCTAGCATACAGTTTTGAGTTTTGATTTTGTACAGATGTATATTCCTTATAGGAATATTCATATATTCTTTGTATTTGCACAATGCTAAATTTGTGCAAGTGTTTTCTCTAATTTGTTAAATAAAAATGATTTTCTTTTTCAAATCTTTGTGTCCTAATTGTTTAAGTTTTATAGTCTTGTGTACTTAGGGATAAATCTTTTTACCACATATTTGTTGCTACCTGATATAAAAATTTATTTTTTTCAATTCCTTTACCATTTTTTTTTCTCTTTGCAGTTAAAGAAATGTGGAATGCTGGATTTATTGATGACATTAATACAAAAGAATGATGACAACATTCAAGCGCTTGCCCTGAACATCATGTTGACAATGATATTGGATGATGATATTCTTAGCTTTTGCCATTCTTCATCTGTTACAAAGGATCTAAGACCGATTTTAGAATCAATAAAAGATACTGATGATTTCATGTTGAGCAATAATGCTAAAAGTGCTTTGCAGATAATTAATAATTGAAGGCAAAATGATTTTAAATAGATCATACCTTACCTGTCTTACCTTTGCTGGTGTGAACACTACTGGAATATTTTTGAATTTTTAGCACACAAAAAATTAATAAGACAACAATACTAACTTGGATTTATGTATTTTTAAAATGAAGCCTTTTTATTATTGACATTTATTTTTATTTTTAATAGTTGAAGTTATTTCCCTTTTATTATTATTATTATTTGATTAATACTTCTATTGGTTCATTGGTTATTTTTATTGTAAGTGTGAGATGTGCATTCAAATTTTGTAGAAAGCAACTGTTTGATTTCTAATTTCATTCTGTTTTCCTTAGCAGTTGAAGAGTGTCAACCCAGAGTGTTGTGATAAAAATAACAAGATACAGTCAAATGAGTAAGAAAATAAAATGTTTTATGCTATTATTTTATCATTAACTTGCAACAAAAAATTAGTGGGGTAGAGATTATCTGTTGGATAATTAATGATGGAATATAGTTAAAATTGCATTATTTCTGCCAGGGTTATATCTTAATTCATTATATCATGAGAGATTACAAGTAATATGGTATTTCAAAATTAAAGCTTCATTTACATTAATTTATAAGGAAGTTCATTTTTAATAATGATAATAGTAGTTCATCTTACTATATGTTCATCTCTATTCTCTGTCGATGATTGTGAAGAAGAAAAAAGAAACAAATAAAAAACATAATCTTGTTTCTAGATTGCTTTCCAAAGAGCTTGATAGTTTATGTAATTTTCTATCTGACCAATTGCAAAAAACATACATTATAAAAAGTATATATTACACATATAATATATAGAAATATATTAAAACAAAAAGGAATAGCAAATTACTGATGTTAAAGTGGCTAATTGAAAAATAAAATAAGTAAAGCTAATTAATTGTTCCTTATTCTTCAATATTTATTTGAGGACAAAACACAAATTTGTGCCCAATGACTAGAATTAGTGGCGAGGAAAAAATTACTATTAGAGAATCAGTAATATGAGTCACAAAGAGATTACATTAAAACCAAGTAAAGATTCCTCCTACTTGGAGAGAGAGCAAGTTGCTTAGATTTAATAACCAGTAGACAACTTTTACTTCTTATATTATTTTTTAATAGTAAATCATTTTCCTGGTTCTTCCTCTTCTTGTCTTAATATAATTTGTCTATGTTATATGTTGATATATATATATTTTTAATCATTTCACCCCAAGATATAATGTCTCTAAGATGCAAGGTCTTATTGGGAGTGAAAGTGAATGAGAGGGCTTTAGGAGATGAAACCAGAAACCTTATCCTAAACAGAAAACAAGGGATAGAGCTTTACTCCTGTACAAAAGATTAGGAAGGAGTATTAAATGAGTGATAGGTGAACCTATCTATTTTCATTACATTACTATAAATATTTTAAAACAGGTTTTTTTTTTCTTTTAAGTCATAGCTCAACAATATAATGAAGTAATTAATATGATGTAACACAATCATTTACTTACTGTTACATGAGGAATTGACATGACACAATGTCCTATTACAGGAGGAAACAAAATATAACTGAGTCAATTCAGATTTCTTATTTAAAATTCCCTAAACCATTTTTCAAGTTCAATGTCTGGATGGATGACTGTAAAATAATTATAATGAAGATTTGTTTAAATTTGGATGTGAATCTGATGAATGGTAAATATATAAGAGAATTTGTAAAACTCTTATATTAATATTTTGCTGATCAGAATGCATATATATATATATATATATGGTAAATATGGGAATTTGTAAAAGTCTTATTTTGACATATTTGCTGATCTGATAGCATCATGAAAAAAATAAATTTCAACCTCATTTGGTCAAAATAAACTCTGTTTTTCTGATGACATTTTTCGATCAAGACATATCATCATAAGAGCTTTCAAAATTGTCTTCTATATTTACCAATCATCAAGATTCCAGATGATAAGATTAGATGCCTTATTTTCAATTAATGTAGTCAGCAAAAACAAAAATTTTCAAATGTACAAATACCATTATCTACTTGATAGGCGTATTGTGGCATTGTGGTCTATCTTATTTTTTATTGTATTTTTGCCTTTGTTGACTACAAATTCCAGCAGAACATTATGTTAAATTGATTCAAATTTATACCCAATGAATACATCTGTTTTTCGTCTTTTTTTGCAAATGTCAATGAAAGTGCCACTTAATCTCTTTAAAACCAATTGCATTCATGGAATTGAATTGGTGATACTGCAAGATTTTGTCATTTTATTTTTGCTCTTTCTTTCCCTAATTTGCAGTAGTTGACATCTTTGTATTAACTATTATCACTCTTGCTACTAACACAATGTAACATTTGATGTACAACTAACCCTAGACAAACATGCTAATGTTTTGATATCTGAATATTGTTAAATAATTAAAAGTTATTATTTACCCAAATCTACATTGTCTGTGTTGATCTTTTAGTGATTTTAATTGTAAAGTTCTATCTTTTTTATAAAAAAAAACAATTATATCAGTTTAACTAAAATCAACAATCTGAACTTAAAAACACTGAATGGAAAGCATTTGCTAAGCTAACAGGTTTAGATAAATTATTTGTATGTAAGGTCCTATGGCAAATATAATTTACTTTACATAAAAACTGATGTAAAATGTTGTGACAATAACAGAGATGAATGGGGATATTAGTGTGAGTTTTTTTTTCTTTTTTAATCATTTAACCCAGTAAGGTGATAAAGCCACTAAGACTGAAAATGTTGAGAAATCATTATTGAGGAGAAAGGACAATAAAATAGCTGAATCCCAAAAGACAGAAAATGACAATTGATATTACATTTATTATTTTGAATATCATAGTTGACAGAAAAGCAAGAAGCTGGAAGTGAGTTTCACAAGTGAGAAGTGCAAGAGAAGAAAACTGATGTAATGAATATGTATACACCTGGGTTCCTCCTCACAGTAATATGATTGGCTGGTGTCAGCCATAAATACAGACTGATGTGGAGGTACATGGCCTATGCTTATTGTCTACGCCTATTGCTTACACATATTGCCTATGACTATGACGAGTACCTGTCCATTATGGCTACCTGCTAGATTGTCCTACCCAGTTACAGTAGCGAAAACCACTTAGCTACTTTGAACAAATATATCCCTTTCTGGGACATATCAAAAACTTATGGAACCATTTCTAATTTCAACAAATGATGAGACCTAGCTGCCAATCAAGTACTGCACTTAAATTCATGAAGTCAAGATACCAAAGAGAAAAGCTCATCAAAACTATCGCCATGAAAATTTATATAGAAAAGGTACAGGGAAGTTACAGTGGGAATGTCATTAAAGCCAAGATATCAGGCCTGACTCAATTGCAGATTCTTCCTTGGATTTGTCAATAAGCTCTAAATACATAGAAGCATCAGACCAAATCTGGCAACAATATTCCATGCACAGAAGAATAGTAGACTCAGATTTGCACAATAGATTCTGGTGCAAAAACTTGTCTAGCACAAAAATGAACCAACTTTCCTATTAGCAGACTTAGCAATCGATTCCATATAATCATTCCAAGTCATGTAAATAAGTATAAATTTTTACTTTAGAAATTTAAACAGAAAGTTTAAGATAAAATTATTGCTTGCACCTGATGTGCTCTGGAACATTGTAGAAAAATATAATATTTTATATAAAATGTTTAAATAAAAAAAAAAAAAATTCAGCGGTATAATTTGATTGGAGGAGCCAAATGCTACAGTTTACAAATCCATTGTGTCATTTCCCTTTGGGAATATAATGCTTCCAGATATAGAAAGAAACTCCAGCTTGCAATCATCAATTTGGGAAAACTCAAGACTTGGCTGGGATAGATTAGATGAATCCGGCTCTTTGAATCTGGAGTTGTAAACATGACTTCTCCAGAAATTACAGAAGAATCTCTATATTATCTTACTTATTATAAAATGCAGATTGTGTGTGTCTGTAACGTTTATATATTGGATCGGATTTCCTACATTTTTTAGCCGATTTCAACAAAACTTCACAGGACTACATAAAATTACCCTGTGGTGGTTCTAACGGCGCCGAAAATAGGAAAAAAAAATTGTTTTTGCACAAAATCAATTTGAAAACACGACTAAGACACATCATGAGAATGAAAGGGGGACAACTCACATCGGGTCAAAAAACCCAGGTTGTTTGTGTGTGTGTTCCTTTATATATGGGATCGGATTTCTTACATTTTTCAGCCGATAAAACAAACATCCACTTTTTTTTTTGGCAGGTAGTGTTTCTTATTGTCTTGCACACTTTTTTCTTTATTTTTACATTCAGAATGCTTTAAAAATTCCATTTACAAGACAATTGTTTATAAAATTATTCTATTCAATCGGTAGAGACTCATAACGATTGAAAACAATGTTTTTGTTTGAGTTTGGGTTTGACCAATTCGTAAAAAAAAAAAGAAAAAAAAAAAAAGTAAGACATGCGTGTCCGTCAACCTAAACAATAATCTAACGATCTCTACTGATTGTACGAATCGAAAAATCGGATAATTCTTTAGGGAATGATAATTCCACGTACTTTAGGGCCGTTTTTACAATTCTCTTTGCAATTTGTTACAAGGCAAATCAATAAGACATTGGTTCTATTTGAAATTAATTCAATGTTTAAAAGAAAGTATTAAGAAATAATTTAAAAATGCCGACGTAAGAAATCTGATAGACAAAAAACAACAATATTTCGAAGATGATAATTATTAAGGAAAGAACACAGTACTTGTAATAAATTAATATTTTTTGTATTAGAAACAACGAGTGGAAAATATATTCAAATCAGAATTCTAATTATGAATCACCACAAGCAAAATATGCAATTTTTTTTTACTGTATTCAATAAGTAAAAATCATAAATTGTAAAAGATTACAGAGAAAGGCTACCTACATTTTTCAACCGATTTCAACAAAACTTCACTTTTTTTTTGGCAGGTAGTGTTTCTTATTG